AAAAGTTTCAGCAGGTATTTCCTTTGCAACATCTCAACCAACAATTGGTCCAGTTATCCACACTATTTTCAAGTTTTGAACAACTCGACTTTCAAGATCTACATATCTACATGTGCCAATGTTTCCATTTATCAACGTTATATTTTAAGACCTGTGCAAGAACTCAGCTAACAGATGTTTCTGCATATAAAAGCTATCTTCAAATTATTGTTGTAGTCTGCTCCAATTCATACTGTGTTTGTTGTTAATTATACTTTAGGATTAATAAGACTAACTTGCTGGATCACATGTTTTTCTAATAATGATCAGGTTAATTCAATAAAATAATTATAATATTATATGATGTTCAAAAAATCCTTACTCTAACCCTAATTTTTAATGGCTTAAATATAGTGGATAAAAATTTCATTTTATCAACTTAATCCAATTCACAATGAAACATCTGTTGTGAAACAATTTGATAATGTGAATAATGTCTCAACCATTACTATTCTATCTATCATATCCCAGTCCACCTGAAAAACCCTAGTATTGGGCAAAAAAGTCTCATTGGCACTGGATATAGTAAATATAGTGTGGTTATTATATAATTATACACATCTATTTTTTTACTTTCACTCAGAAGTTTTTTAAGAACTTACATTATTTGTTTATCTTACTTTTCTATCTGGCTACTTTCTGTGCAACTGGATTTAGGTTTCCTTTTGCACTTGTAATTGATATTTTTTTTTTTTTATGCACTGGTGACTTCTACTCTTTCTTGTTTTTGCTTCTTACCAATCTTGTGGGTTGCTCCTCAATTTACTAATATATTGCTGTAGACTATGTTTTTGTTGTTCAGTTTTGTGTATACTGAATTTGCATTTCAATGGCTTATTTGAGCTACTATAACTATTGCCCGTACAAGACAATTGGCAAGTATGTGGTAGTTTTATGTTAGTGTCTACTGTGAAATTATGCCAATTAGTGAAGATAACTTGTAAAACCTGAAGTTCAAGAAATAAAATACTTTCATGGATTTGACTTTGCATTCTTCTCTCTACTGAATAGTCCAAAGGAACCTGTTTAACAATAGAAATTGTTTTAAGAGTATATCTGAGGGGTGCTTTGTCCTGTACTTCAGAGGTTCTATTTTGTTTGTTCTCCAACAGTTCTCTTGATTTTATGCAGGTTTATTTCAGTTGGACACTGATGGCTTCTGTGGTGCATGCCTCATGCTGTTACTTTCCACTGTGTGTCAATATCTCACTGTCACTTTCTTTGGTCTTAAGTGTTAGTATACTTTCTTGTGGGTCTATTCCACCCATGTTTCTTCATATAACCACTTTTTGTTATGTCTTGTTATCTCTTGATTTTATGCAGGTTTATTTCAGTTGGACACTGATGGCTTCTGTGGTGCATACCTCATGCTGTTACTTTCCACTGTGTGTCAATATCTCACTGTCACTTTCTTTGGTCTTAAGTGTTAGTATACTTTCTTTTGGGTCTATTCCACCCATGTTTCTTCATATAACCACTTTTTGTTATGTCTGGTTTCAGTATGGTTGAGTGGATTGGTCATAACTCCTATTTTCTGCTTTATTTACTTCTTGTAGGCTGTTCTCCATTTTCCCTGCATTCTAGTATTCATACAATATTGTGTTGTTAGTTACTATATATATATATATATCCTGTGATCTTCCATGCCTGATGTGGTAGTGCACGAAGGTTATAAGTATCTTCTCCTTAGTTATTGGCTGGAGGATGAAGTCGCTATGTGTATCATGGAGCTGCTCTCTTTTCTTAAACCATAGCACTGATTGTGGTGATTCTTGACTGTGCCACTTTACTTGGTAGTATTTATGGATGTTATTTGTTGCATGTTTGGCTCATTAATTCATTTTCCCATCCTTGTTATGAGAATTCTAAAACTATGTAATTTGAGAGGTGTCTCTTTTTAAACACTACATTTTTGAAGTAAATTGTGTTTTAAATACATACCTCTTGTATAACAGTCTCTCCACACAACCTACATCCATTACTTGTTTGGTAGATTAACTGTTGTTTGCTGGGAATTGTTTAAAGGTATTCTGTGAAATTATGGGTAGTGTAGATAGAAGACCCCTGACTGACTACTAGCTAACCTCAAAGGAGTTATCATCCCAGTGTAGATACTATATAAAATACACAAAAACCATAAGTGAGTATGTTTTTCATGTATGGGAGGTTAGAAACATTTTATCTGCTAATAGGATAAAGTATAATGTGTGAGAGGTAAATACTTATTTCAAGCATATTTTACTTGAAAAAGTGTTGTATGTCAAAAGCACTGCAAAGACAATCATTTAGAAGCTTGTTCATTTCATCTTTTAATGCAGTGAAAGTTGAGCTACTTATGCAGTGACATAATTCACATTTACTTTATATATGTGATAGGGCCTCATATCTTGTAATATTATAGCTTGGTAATTCATTTATATTTTTGTCTTTAAATGGCCTTGCAGTAATGTAGTATATTTATAAATTACTTGCATATAGACTGTGAAAGTACATTAAAAAATAATAATCGTGGAATAGATATGTTGATGTTAGATTTCAGTATACACATGCACAAAAAACAATAGTCCTTTTTAAAATTAAATACATATGATGGAATATCATGAAAAATTTAAATATTGAGAAAAACATTACTTGGATCTTTCATTATAAGGTGTAGAAAAGGATTTGTGAATAGTTTTATAGTTTATGGTAAGTGATGAATATTTATATTTTAAAAAATATTTTTGTACCATACATCTAGTTGCGGTTATAAAATGAATTGATGATGTACAGGTAAACAGGAAATATTTTTACCTTTAAGTTTCTTCTATGGTCAGGTTACAACAACTGTTAAAGAAACTCCCCGAACAGATGTAGAAAATAAAGACTTAACTGATCTTGCATTGAGAGGACTACAGCTGCTATCAGACTGGACAACTCATGTTACAGAATTGGTTTGTTGGTTTCTTTGTTTTTAAATGTGTGTGAAGATTATTCAAAAATGTTATGTATACATGAAAATGTGTTATTGAGATATATTAATTACAATAACCAATATTTAAGTTGATTAAAAACATCTTAATAATAATAAAAATTTATTTAATTAATATTTTTATCTTCATATGAATTATGCTACTGTAATGGGCTTAGAGCTAAGTGCTGGAGCTTCGACTATACTGCCGATTATACCATATTTGTTTAATTGAGGATTACAGTGACAAGTGGAGCTCAAAAGTCTCTAACTCGAGGTAATTTATGGTTAGACTAAATAAATTGATCCTGAGACTGATATATAACACGATACATCAAGTTTATTCAAGTTTTCTAACATGAAATACACTTTTAATAACATAAAACTTGTAATCATTTGATACTTCTTAATAAACCACTTTCTCCAAGATTATATTAATTTACTAAGAGAGATAGTAGTTCAATACTTACAACAGAGTTCGCCTGGTAAGATGTTGAAGGTTAGATACTTTCATGTTCATGGTGTGTAGAGAATTCTGGACTATCATCAGCTCTGGAGAGAACCTCAATTCTCCCTGGAGATCTGACTTTTTGCTCCAGACAAAATTTTTATACTATATATTTTGTATCCTTTTGATTTCCAAATAATAATCGAAACTACCCAAAAGTAGTTCTGACACTTCATTGGATAATTTCTGTAACTCATTGGGCTAATCCAAAACAAGAACCAAAACTCTCAAGTAATTGGTTACTATGATGGTGAGTGCTCCAGTTGCCTTCTCACTTGTGCTACTACTCTGGTCTATAGTAACAGATCTTACATCAAAGTGCTGATTTGAGATGCTATCATAAACTTTTTAGTAGCCTTTACTGTACTACTAATTTGGCGTCCGTAACTTATCACCGTCAAACTTGTGACTACCGTTTTTCTCAGCGTCCTCATTGTAGCTTAATTTTTTATAACTCTTAACTGGTGATTTTCAATACTAATTAACTAGCTAACTGTACTTTGCCTAGTTCTTGGCCCAATTTCTTAATACAGGCATCCTTACTTACACCTTTTCTTCATGTGTGTGTGTGTATCACACTCAGTAACCTAAATCTCTTTAGTTTCTTTCTTAAACTCTTAAACATCAAAAGAAAATACTGAAGCAATTGTAAAATTCCCTCAAAACATTCATTTGCTTCATTACATTTGATTTTTCATGAAAGTTGATTATGTTGTTGTATTATTATTATTATTTCTCTTCCTTTGAAGCACAAATTATTTAATTTTTATCTAGTGGATTATTACCTGAAATTTTTCTGTTTGGCATTTTTGGTCTGAGAAATTTTTATTGAAATGTTTATATTTTTGTGTATATATTGCTATCACATATTACTGAAGTATTTTTATATAAATAAAATAGCTGTTCAAGCTCAAAAAATGAACCCCTATTGGCCTTTTAAACACTTGTATATTCAAACTATTTAGGTAATAAATTGTTTGTGGGTTCTTGACTTTTTTTGGTAATAGGGTCTGTACTAAAATATGAGGCACACAAATAACTTTAAACAAAATAATATTAATATTGTGATTCAAATAATTACCTCTGGGAGAGAACTTAAATTATCTCTAAAGCTGAAGAGTCAAGGAAGATTGTGCCTCATCATTATCTCAGAACCTGCACATGCATGTAAACCATACTGCTTAGCTGTGTTAGTTATTATTATATTTTAACATAATCTTGGTCAGTCACTTATTGCTAATTATCAGATGTGAAGTTATGTTCACCAGTTAAAGGCTTTTACTTATACTTCTTAATAGTATAAATATATACTGTGTTGTTGTTGTTGGTCTTACGATTCTTCTACTGTAGGTGTCAGTGACTTGTTTGCGATAAATTCAGTGATAAATGAACAATTAGCACGCACTCCACTTGTTATCAGATAAATGCGTGTATATGTATATATGTTTGAACTGTTTAAACATATATACAACAAATTCTTTACACTATAAAGATTATAAACACATCATAAATACTATATATATATATATATAGTTATCTTCTTTTTTTCAAAAGTCCACTTCGACCTATTCAATTGCTTTAGAATTTCAGTTGACAAGCTGAACTACCTTTCTCTATTTCTATCACACTAGTGTTTCGTGTATAATTCACTTAAAATTATAGCATGCATTACTATGGTCGTATATTGCTCTTCTAGTTCTCCTACTTCATATATTCTCTGTTCCTTTTGTCAAAATGCACTTGGGCTGGTTCAGTTACTTTAGGACTCACTTTTAAGGAATAAAATATACTTCTTATCTCTTTTAAAACTGTTAGTTTTCTCTAACATATTAATAGCTAGGGCTATATTAACCATTAAGCCTTTCACTCCTACAGAAATTAACTTTGCATTTAACTTTCCGTGGCTGCACTTCTACTTCCCGTGACTTTACTTTCTTGTCTGCTCTATCTGTCTGCAGTTTCCTCTCGTCTTATACTATTTATATGTTTATCACTTAGTCGTTTGCCTGCTTTCTAGAAATCTATATTTTTGACATCAGTGTATTGCACGTGACATTCAATAGTCTCATCATCAATGAATTATAAACACAACTTCCAATAATCATCTGCTTTTAACTCTCTTATTATATAAAAAACAAACATACTAAACTCTCATATAATATTAACTCACAAAATTAATTATTTAATACTACCTACATTAAATAGTCTTTTATATCGTGACACTAATAATAGTCTAATTTATTGCAATTGATGATAGGTTTGATTAAGACCTTTTTATCTGTAATACCATAGTCTGAAGTAAGTAAATTCTGAAGTGTTTTCTTACTTTGTCTAGCCAGACTACAAGCTCAAGTTGTGATTATCAGGGAAAAAAATTAAATTGTGTATTATATGAGTAGGTGTGAAAAATCTGTAATTTTACCACAAAAGTGTAAGAAATGTAGTCAGCTTGCCATATTTAATACTTTCTTGTGATAATAATAAAACCTTATTGTGGTTAAATGTTTATATAAATTCAGTATTGTGGTTTTCATGAGACCAAAGGATAAATTTTAAATGCCATTAGTGCACAGTATTTAGCACAATTAGGGTACATGTGTTAGATTAATTGGATTAGTGCCATTTCTTCAACTTTTGAAAATAAATACAGAAAAGAAACTTTTATAGTGCATACTAAGATTTACCAGTTTTGTAAACTGTGTTGAGAAGGGAACTATTCTAGGAGTGTAAAATATCACTCATCTAGTCTGTTCAAGTACAAAACACTGGGTTTTAGAATTGAATAAATATTCTGAATTACTGAAGAATAGATTGAGTCCACCTATTCAAGAAAAACAAGGAGCTATGTATAAACTTACCTGGCAAATGTAGTAAGATTTATGTCTGAAAAACTGGTCTCACCATACAAACAAGAAAGGGAGAATACAAATGCAATGCATAATTAGGTAATTTTTAAAAATATATTTCTGATGGTCAGATATCAGTCATTGTCATGAATAATAGTATGTATGATCATGCAAGTGAAATTAAAGTTAATTTATATCCTATATTTCAGCTACTAATCTACTACCATCTTTAGGGAAGGTCTGAGAATGATTTTGTGTGGTGCCAGCAGATGGGATTCAATCATGGGTCTTAATGTTAGAAAGCCATATATGATGTCCACTCATCCAAACTTTCACCCTTTTTGGTATTTAGACAGATGGACAAGCATAACCTTATAAAAGTTTGCCAGTAATTAATTTTACAGATCCAATACAATATCACATAAAACTGTATTAAGTATTAGAATAATTATATATTTTGTAGTATGCAGTTACATAACATAGGCTCTTGAAAAGAGGTTGTTTTTAGACAACTAAATTTACAGAATGCAAAAAGAAATATGCTGACAAAGGACTATTCAACTATGGTAATTTCAGTTTATACAAAAAAATAATTTACAACACATGAAAATATAAAGGTGACAAACTTTCAATCACCAATAACAAAGGATGACCTTCTATATGGTACTTGCTCAAAAAAAAAAAAGGTAAACATGCATGCACCCACAAAATCCAAAGATAAAGATAAGTATTTTAGTTACTAAAGATGAAGGTTAATATTATTATATTAATATTACAATGTGAGGATAAAGGTAACTATTTCAGATACCAACAGAGAAGGACATTGCCATATATTTTTGTTCAGGAGTGTTGTGTGTGTTTATTTAAATACACACATACATTCTACTCTCGAACAAAAATCACAAGATGATGACATTAACTATTTTAAGTTATCAGAGATGAGGGTTGATATTGATTGCACTAACATTTTCATAGTATGATGACACTTGGAGGTAAATATTTCGATTACTAGAAATTAATGGTAGTTTTTTGTTGTTTTTTTGTAATTTGTAAAATACACTGAAAAATAAAGTTCATCAACTTGGGGAAAAAGCGTAACATTTATTACACATATTTTCACAACATGATGAAAAGACTGTATAAATATAACTACTTTGCATTGCTCAAGATGAAAGTGTAATTTTTAATCATAAAAATTGCACTTTCACAAGGTAGTGATAGTTGGATTTAACTGTCTTTAGTTTCTAAAGAGGAAGTATCATTATTATTTAAATTTTAAATACACAGAATTAAAAGTAGCTAAACTTTGAGTTACCAAACATGAAGAGTAATGATTTTCATACTAAAAATTTAATATATAGGTAACTAAAGTTTGAATTGAGAAAAATGAAGGTTAATGTTTTATACTTCTTTTTTAAATACAAGAAGGAAATTTAGTTTAAATAAATTGAATAAAAAAGAAGGCATACACTTTTTTGTTACAAATACCTCAAAAGTAAATGCTCTGGTTTAACCCTTTAGTTCATTTGCTAGATTATTCAACTTGTGTGCAAGAGGTCTTGGGTTTAAATCTGAGCTAAATGAAAAGGTGTTATCATGAAAAAACTGGCAATCAACTAGTGGTCATCCCACTATCCTTAGTTAAAGTCTTTTTTTGTAAGAGGAGAAGAATGTGGTAGTTTGAGTTGTTAAAAAGTGCCTTATTAGCTACCACTAGTGAGTTAACCCTTTAGCTAAGTTGATGGAGCATTTGCCTGCAGCATGAGAGTTCTCAAGTTGAAATTCAGGTGGTAGTCTGTTGTTGAAAACTTTGGATGGGTATGTTGCTTTAGGGTATTCTTTACATGTGAGATATAAACCCCACAGTATTGATGCCTGCAGCTTTGATGGTGATGAATGGATAGTTGGAGGAGCAGACAATGATGGTGCACAAAGGCTAGAAGAAAATCTTCCTTTTTATAATGATGGTGCAGCTGGTGAAGAACCTCTCTGGAATTCCTTGGCTTTTTCTCAGATCATAAGTTTAAGAAGGTCTTCTTAAGCTTATGGATAAAATGATCTCTTTTGAGATGCACATACATATGACTTCTCTGCCCTGATCATTGGTGGCATTGTCTACAATTGTGGACTTCGCTGACCATAAGCAGTTTGATTATTAGCAGCTCCATGATTGAAGGATTGCTGATTTCAACATTAGTCAGGGTGGCTCCTCAGATGCCAGGGCTATTCTGTTTGTGTCATCTGCAAGAGCTGTGGAGAGAGTCTTAGGGACCCACTGGATACTTGTATTCATTACTGAAACTGTAGAAAATGCAGTTTCCTTTCAACAACAAATTGAACTTATTCAAACTTTTGGTATGTTGAGTAGATAAAATAGCCAGTAAGGTTAAAAATTTGAACATGTATAGAAAATATCACAATTTAAATTGGTTAGTCAACTTGGATTCTGATAATGATTCCAACAAACAAAAATCTGAAATCAGGCTCAGCACTGTGAAGATGCTAAATGTTGGCACTTGAACTTCAGAATCCATCAGCATAAACATTATAGTTCCATAAGATTTTGCCTCAGTACAGACATAGTACAGCTTGAAGTGACTACAAAGCAACACCACTTGAATATTACTTTCTTTTTGAGGCAGTGTACATTCAGAGTCCATAGTCTAACTGCAAGTTACACTGAAAATAATATTATAAAACATTCAGTAAAACTGCATACTTATAAGATTGGAGATGGCTTGAATGGGTAATGAAGAAAAACTTTAAAATAAGTTTAACATAACAGCAAATGTACACCGTTTCGACAACGTTTTGTCATCATCAGGGACCTGACAAAACCTTGTCGAAATGTTGTACATTTGCTGTTATGTTAA